AGTCGTCGGCAACATCTCTTCATGGTAACCGTGTATACTGCAGACTGAGATATCATGTGACTCCACAACGCAACGCTACCGCCCCAGCCATCAGCCCATGCCACTGTCGCACCATATGCATCGGGGAACCAAAAGCATTGCCAATATGGGTGCGCATATTAAACTGTAAAGCAACAACCATCCACACTGTTAATCTGTTACTTTAAGATTCGCTCAAAAAACCCATGATCCCGACGGCGAGCCTTGCGTATTCCTATCTAGGCATATTTCCTCGTAAAACGGTTCTAATCTTTAAAGAAATTATTTTCATTAATATCTTTGAGAAGAAAGTATAATTTTTGCCAAGCTGTTTTCCACTACTAAGCCTGTTCGAAAAGATTTATTGTAGTTTCTAAAGAAATCAAACCACTTTTTTATCTATTTGTTTATTAACTATTTTCCTTATGAAGTCTGGTCGAAATTTGTTTGGGAACTCTTTTGAAGAGGAGATGTTTCGGTAAAGTATCTTACAAAAAATTTAGCGATGGCATTTTTACTTGGAAATTAGTCATTGCAACGACTTTTGTTTTGTTGGTTTTCCTGCGTTGTAAAAAATGTTTATACTTTGTAATTTCAGCGCCTATTTTGTGAGCAGAATTTTCGTGCGCGTTTAAAAAATGATTGCATGGAGTGTTTTCGGTTCGCCGAAAGAGCTGCGCACTGAGTTGATACCTGTTGCTCCCGCTCGCGCCGCTTTTTTTTAAAGTAATTTCTGTACTTGTTCGTGAATAGAACCCGTTTCGAGAAGTATACCACAGTTATAACATAGCGATATCTGCAGAGGCGGCGGCAACAGCAATCGCAGCAGCTAGTTATTTTCGCACCCATCCCGCACTTGCTGTTATGATAATCACCTTCTTCACTATACTGCTGCTAGCTGCTTATTCAGCAACATCACTACGGATTCCTCGAGATGCTGTCGCTGAAATACCAAAGCACCCTTATGTACAGGTCCTATCCATTCCATTATTTTGATACTTTTATTTCATCAGTCCAAATGCGGAAACATTAATTGAAAGAAGCCTTGGTTGAATATGCATGAAAATGTTGGCTGCAAGTGCTTGTGCATGTGTTGGTGTACGAGTTATGTACACCAACACATGCACAAGCACTTGCAGCCAACAACCCACAGCTCCGTCGGCTCCTCGACCCAGTGATCAAACGAATTAACTTGTCTAGTCAGATCGAGACCGCAATAATATCACCATCTACTTAAAATGGATTTTGAATGTAACATCGAAGCAGTAGAACTAAAATTTGTACGTTCTTCCAAATTTTTTTATTTTGCACTTCACGCATTATTATATTTTTTACTATGCAGCGCTATGGCGCTGCTACAGTGAGCAAAAACAGATTGTGTCGAGATGTTGTAGGGTGTTGGAAAGCAAGTGAACTTTTTCACCCGCTTTTAACTCGGCAACCAGTACGGCTGGAAGGCTGAAGTTTCATTTCCACCCCCGTGTTTCATTCTTCCGTTTTAAAATCATCGTTCACACGTGCCCGGATCTCATGTACCGACCCTAGAAAAATATATGCAGATTTCTTTGGCGTAAGCCAGACAAGACAGAAAGCTGAAACCTTGCAGGGATATTCTCAATGTAAGTATGGCCTAAAGGTCGCAGTCGGCACTGTACCAACTTGGAAACTAGCAGGAAAAGAGTAGCTGAATTTTTGTTAGAATATTTTTCGTTCACTTAAATTCAGTTTCCATTCGCACTTGCGCCAAGACTTCAGGCCCTCCAAAGGCATTGTGGCGAAGTGGCTGTTTCGCTTACCGGACAGACTGCAAAGCTGAAACCCGGCTAGAATATTCTATATTCACGTGCTGTCTTAATTCAGCTTGGAGGTATCCCTGCCCAAGGACACAAAAAATATTTTTATCGCAAACTCAAAGCGAGTGTTTTGCGGATTTCATAATCCTCTTCCGAATTCCTTCACACTTGCATCTTTTTCGATGAACGTCGGAAAAATGACCAGGCTTTATGCAAATAACTGATAATCATAATTACGCACACTAGGGTTCTACTAGACCCCATAATGCAATACCTTCGTTTCAGCCAATGCCCTTTCCTCCTTCATGTAGAAAAAGACCAAAACATAGCCAACATGAGTCCAAGTGTTCAAATCATTGGTCTGCAAAGACGAGAGATGTTGCCTGTGTAAATCAGTCAACTGCATAGAGTGGATGTTACTCGTGCATAGCGAACACTCTAAAGGATCAGCAGCTGCATATGCTAACTGTTGGAAAACTACATTTACAATGCAGTGTAACTCTTTTTCAGCCAATTATGGCACAAATTTACAGATTTTTGATTCATTTGTGCATGTCAATCGTACTGATTCATGTCCAGATCGAAAAACCTAATTTTTTGTATTGAAAGGTGATCTCTTATGTCTAGAATCTTGCCTGGCTGTACTCTGAGAGCGAAATCAATAGCAATAACCAACTACAGAGAATCAGCAGCTGGACATGAATTCATTGAATGCTAGCAAGCGTATGGAAAGAGATAACAAATTTTTTTTCTCACTACTTGGTTCTCTTTCGATAATAATAGTTCTTATAAGAAGAAGCATCGCAGTTATTTTAGCAATAGGTTTCGAAAGAAATATTAAACGAAGATGCCTAAACGGCGATTTCAAGAAAGGCAGGTACAAAAGGATGAGAATTAAGACAGCCTGGTATATTTTGTGCTAAACTCAAACCAGAGAACATTAAGACCCCGAACCTGATGTGGGCCATCAGGACAAGAAATTTAAGTCACTTAAACGGCTGACAAAGAGCTCAAGTTAAAATAAATAGGACAAGTCACTGCTTGCGTTCTTAACTAAATGCGGGGGAATGCTTTACCGCAGATTTAGAAATTGCTGGATTTTATTCCAGCTTTTTTTCCTTCCTTTAGTTTTCACCATAAAGTTGTCTTAAGCTTTGCTGATGTTGGATCAGACCGGAACTCTACTCACTTCTCCAATACTATTTTGCTAAAGACAACGACTTTACGAATGCTAAACTTGGACAATGGCGAAAAACGGAGAGCGAGCGCCGGGCGTGACGGAGAAAGCGTTGGAGCGAAGGATGCCTTGCGCATCCTTTGTGACTGCGTAACAGTCACACTCTTCGCCGTATGAGTGAGGCATCATTGCGACAAACTGAAAAAAATAAAATCCGATCGACAGGGCATGTTGCTAGCCTTGCCGAGAACTGGTGGACACAGTATCCGTGAGAAAGAAAACAACGACCGTAGCGCACACAGATCGAACAAGCGACGATTGCTAACTGAAGGGGCACAGTACGGGATCGAAAGGTTGACATAACTGCGTCCGGGGTGTGAGGGTCTCTTAATGACATAACTAGCAGGGAATACCCATGCTGGTTGTCCACACAGTTTTAGTAATCTTTTGTAGCTTTGGGTGGGATGATAACGTGAATATTTCGTGTTAGATTTGTTTCCACTCGCGGTAATCCAGAAGTGTTTTCCAATGAAAAACGAGTAAATCTAATGCTTACTCAAATTCAAGCTGCAAAATAACGTTTCTTTTTTTTCACTTTTCAGACAGTTTTGGGCATATTGCCAACTGAAGTTAAGACGGAAGTGATTAAAATTGGAACAGATGGCAGCCTTTCTCCTTCGGTATTGCTTACTATGGCTTTTTCAGCTTCTTGTTTCAATGCCTATAGCAAATCATTGAACCATTCAAACACAACGTTTGAATTCCAATTTGCAGCAAAAGTTGGAAAAACTTCATGCACTAATGAATTCACTGCCACAAGAAATTCGGAATAAAATACCAACACCACCAACGCTAAAAAAGTTGCCGCAGCCAATCCAAGAGAAGATTATGGCTGTTGTAAAAAACGGAAGTTTATCTCTGGCTCAGAAGCGTTCACAGTTGGAAGCTATATATGATGCCCTAACACCGGATCAGAAGAAGCTTGTACCTCTATGGGCCAAATTAAGAGAGTAAGTCTTGTTAAAAATTTTCCCCGTATCTATCAAAAACAAATTAAATTCCCATCCTAAGGTTTTTTTTGTTTTTTATTTTGTTTTACATCTGTGGGATAATGAAATGTGCAGATGCCCAAAACTGTTCTGTCGAATGAAATATGACCAGTGTCAAACAGTTTAAGGTTCCATTTGTTAATGTTAGAATTAAGACCCTTCCTTATTTCACTTGTTTTCGGAGGCGATTGTATTCGTAAGCTGTCCATTGACCGTGATTTGCCAGCAGTAATCACTTTTTAAAAGATGCAAATAGTTAATCCCTTCTTCAGAATGTTGCTTGAGAAGAAAGCCGAAAATGGATTTATTAATATCGTGCGGTAAAATTATGAATAATTTCTGCTTGCTTCGGCGGTGTAGTCATCAAAAGCTTTTTTACATTCACTTTTGAGAGACGGAAGCACTCAAAAAGTAACTCGAATAGTAGCAAATGCCAAAAGCAGCCATCTGCTGAAAGGACTAACAATGGCTTCCTCTTTCAAGTGTTGCTCACAAGCAAACTCCGCATATGCCAGTACCAGTTTACCATTAAAAGAAATGAACAAATCGTAGAACGACTGGTTGCCCCACAGGCACAGTCGAATTCTCGACTTACTATTTGCGATAACAGTGTATTTTCTCACTTGGCTATGCCCGTGTGACAGAGCAGTTGGTTTTACTGAAAAAAAGCATTACAGATTTGAAACCTGAAACACATCTCAAATAGAAACCAACCTTATTTTTTAAACTTGTACGATATAAAAACTTCTGTGTCTCAAATAGCCATTCTTGAAAACCATCTGTTTCAGGAAACTTGGAACATAAAGAAATCCAGCTATTCAGCTAAGCAGCATAATACTTCAGTTTTTTACCAAGCATTTCATTCAGTCTTATAATAGAAAAGCTCAGTGAATTATTTCAAATGAATGTCTCTAAAATTACTAAGTCGCTCCAGTCCATTCACAGTTCTGTTTTTGCTTGCTTCTTTATCTGATGTTAGTGTTCCCCTTGCTTTTTCACAGTGTTCTATTGAGCCGTCTAGTTCTCATCATAATTTGTGTTACCTTCTTTGTAACAGGCAGCGGCCGTTTAATAAAACCGTATTTTTGGACAACTAATATGCTTCTTTACCGAAACAAAGTTGCAGCTGGAGTTGGTACAACTAAATTTATGCACCCCAGGACCAAGTAGCGTAGTAGAGCTACTTCCGGTATCTGGATACCCGCGCGTAACGCCACTAACATCGAATTTCCATAGAGATAGCCATTGCTGTCTTGTCTTAATCTTAGTAGAAATTTGGCTTGTATCAGCCTGAGTTCGCAGCTTGAGGTTCAGTGAACTGAGTTCCGAATTACTATGGGGCCATCTTCCCAAATCCAAGCTTTTTCTAGCAGTTAGACGTTACGGAAATTGAAAATGTGTAACAGACACACAAATGCATACGCAGTCAAAATTAAGACCTAAAACTCTCTCTGTATTTGTTTTTTGTGAGAGCAGAAGCACTTGGAAAATTATCAGAATATAGCAAATGCCGAAAGCAATCTTCCGCATGCAACAACGCATAAAAAAGCTTCTTCACATTAACACTTAAAATTGGAAATACTAAAAAAAGAAATCAAAAGGTCAGAGCCACGTTATACAGTTTATTACTTCGAGAGTGTTTTTAACTTAATAAGGAATGAGATTAATCTATCCGGAACGCAAGGACGAAACGGCAAGCTTTTAAGTCAACTAGATTTTTTTAAATGGCATGTTGTACCAGCTGATGATTTTTTTTTGAGAATGTCCTTCAGAAACAAATTGTTTTTTGAATTTTAAAGTGAACCGGATTTAATTCGCCAAACTTCAATGGTGATGCCCTAACAAAAACAATGGCAGAATTTTTCCCACATCGATTAGCTGAAAGGAAAACTCTTAAACAATTGTTGTACACGAAGTCGCTGACTAATAGACCAAAATAAACTTCAGACAGATGCCGTTTTAAGTTGCTGTATCACGCATCCTCCATGTCAAAAAATCTAATTAACCTACACTCGGATATCCCTAACTGATAATCAGTTTTGGAGAATTTTATTTCTTGCCAAATACTAAAAGTAAAGACAGCGCTTATCTCCGCGATTTCATCGTACAACAAAGGAAATTGAAATTCTGAAAACAGTGGTATCAAAGAAACTGATATTTGGTCGGAGATAAAAGCCTAGGAACTTTAAAGGAAGATATTCGTTATTTTTGTGCAATTCGAAATTTTTAAAGTCCATATGCCTAGGTCTCACGTACGGTATATATAACCTGGGCCTGTATGGAAACTATTTAACTTTGATTTTTTTGGTCCAAAATACCGAAGATGCATAGTTTCACAAGTTCATCAGCTACCATTCTATCGCACAGCTGCACTATCAACAAGTAAATTTAGTGCCTTTTGCTGTGAGAGGATCATACCTCGAGTATTTAATTTTAGACGAACAAACAAAGTAAGTAAGGGAACAAAGATCAGGTTAAGACCATTCTAGTGTCCCCCCGCCGAGCTTTTGCAGTTCGAATTGAATAAGTAAGCGAATTCAAACTTACAAAGAATACACCACCGACTTCGATTTAAAGAATTACGCAAAAATATTACGGACAACGTGATTTAGCACCGATTACTTCCTCAAGTCACATAAGTGACACAGGCATTTAGAAGACTGCATGAGAATACCAGTTTGGAACGCACCAACCTTGCCTATGCGATCATACGTTTTTGCGCTAAACTTGAAGTACTCACGTTTCTAGCTGGATAAATGATTATTGCTTTACATTTAACTTGAGCACTCATTACCGTAAATCGCACTAAATTTTGCATAAAGAACCCAGGCTGGAACGCACCAGGTGAGCCGGTGCGATCATGCGTTTTTGCATCAAAATTCAAAGTTCCGTCTCTCCTAGGAGGAATGGGGAAGAAAGAAGGGGATTCCACATTATGCCACCATTCACCTGAAGACGGGGTTTTGAGAAAGAGTGAACGTTTAAGTGCACAAACCCACTGCCGGAGACATAGGTGGATCCAAGGAGCGGCGGTGGGTCTTCCACCCCCTCCTCCGGCCCGGGCGGCACAGGCACCAGTGCTGCAAAAGTTCGGATCCAAAACTAAAACTAAAGTCCGAGTCCAACATTTGAATTGCCGCCGTTCCATGTTCAGTTGCACAGCGACCCGGTCGCGATTTTTATGGGTTTTTGCTGTGCAGCTGCTACAGCCAGCACCCAGGCTGGAACGCACCAGGCGGGCCGGAGCGATTATGCGTTTTTGCACTTTTCGTACCGTAGC